CCAATTGTTTCAAAGTCTTTAGAAAGTACTCTCTCAGTTTCTGTTAGCTTATTTTTTCCTTTGGATGGGACATACTTTCCTATTTCATTGTATACTTAGTGATCTTTTTCTTTGAAAACTGGATATTTGAATTTACTAATATGGTACTTCTGGAAGTTAGATTTTCTCCCTTTACTATGGTTTACCATTTTGGGGTTTTGTTTTATTTTCTTTTGATTATTATAAGGTGTCTTATCCTAGCCCTTGTCAAGGATGAGCCCGAGGTATAAACTTAAGATCTTCTCAGGTATTTTTTAAGCCTGTGCCTTTCCTTGGGGATATGAGGTAACTTTCTAATTTCTCCTGCATATGCAGTTGCTCTTTAATGTCCTAGATGTTAATATCTGGTTCCCAAAAGGAAGAATAAAAGAAAAATGAAGGGGAATAAAGAAAAGGTTTTGGTTCTTAAATTTCCTGTAAGTCTCTTTTCATCTGGGAAGGAAGGGCTTATAATAGTGGGGAGAGGTATATATATAATAACAGCTGCCCACCTCTCTGTCTACATCTCCATAATCAGAAGCAACAATCAGTGATATAGCACAGATGCCCAACATTTGGACAATAGGGACCTTTTTGCTCACCTTGGTTCCTACAAGTTGCATGTGAGTTACTCCAGGAATATAAACATGACAGCCTATTATAAGACTGGAGGTTGGGGAGTGGTAGCTGCTACTGAACTAAAGGCTGAAATTGACTAAAATTAAGCTGGCCATAGTGGCTCACACCTGTAATTGTAACACTTTAGGAGGCCAAGGGGGGCAGATTGCTTGAACTCAGGAGTTTGAGACCACCTGAAGAAGAGTGAGACTCCTTCTCTATTAAAAATAGAAAATCTAGCCAGGCATTGTGGCAGATGCCTATAGTCCCAGCTACTTGGGAGGCTGAGGCAAGAAGATTGCTTGAACTCAAGAGTTTGAGGTTGCTGTGAACTATGATGCCATGGCACTTTACCTGGGGTAAATCTATCTCAAAAAAAAAAAAAAAACTGACTAAAATTAACTACAATCTAGTCTAACTAAGCCTTACCCTGGAAGATGAAAATTTTTGATTGACTCTAATCTAGAGTTTCAAACTTATTACATCAAATTCTTCCAATGAAATTATTGTCTAGCCGAGGAAACACAGTCTTGGTGCTTCTTATTCTATCATCTTCCTATAATCCTCTGATGAAATAGTCTTTGATGATTTATTTATTATACCAGCTAGGTAAAGTTGGAGCAGTTGAGGTCCTAACTTATAGCACGGGGAACCACATAAGCCAGCAACCAACATTGATACTGTTTTTCTCAAAACCATTACATAAAAGGTCTAGGAGTTAATGAATGAAAACGAGTGTTGCTTCTCTTACAATTATATCTAATTATATCTAATAATCCACTTTCACAATTAGTGCTCCTCATTCTGCTACTTTGGGAACTTCTGATTTGGAGATCTTAGTTCCTAAGGAAGTGCTTTTACCAGGTGACACAAAAATAGTTCCACTGAACTGGAAGTTGAGGTTGCTACAGGTAACCTACTTAGGTTTTTCACTCCACTGAACCAATCAATATTCAGACAAAGCAGGGTTTACTCTATTGGTTGGGTGACTGATACTGTATATCAAAGGTAAATATAATTGTTGCTATACCTTGAAGGCAAAAAAAGAATATCTTTGGGATCCAGAAAATTATCTGGTGCTCCTCTTAGAAGATCCATGTCTTTTAGTAAAATTAATGGAAGACTATAGCAACCTGATAAAAGCAGGACCTTTAAGGACTCAGACCCTTCAGGAGTAAAAGTTTAGGACACCACACTAGTTAAAAAATCCCAACCAGATGAAGTGCTGGATGAGGACAAAGGAGCATAAATGGATGAAGGAAAAAGGATAAATATCCACTATGGCCTCCTGACCAGTTAAGAAAATGATTATAGCAACTATATATGTTTTCATGTATAATTTCTTCTGTACTTGTTGTGTGTGTGTGTTCGTGCACGCATGTGTACGCTGGCATATTGTATGTGTAAACTACTAGCAGTGACTGACTCTCCAACTTAGTTTTTTCTATCTATAAATTTCATTAGAAGAGAAAATAATATCATCCAGAGATGGATACAGTAATTGAGGGAACTGTGTCTATCCCTTTTTTGAGGATGGTGAAAGTATCTTAAGTCTAAGAGAAAAAGTTCCTACATGTTAGGTGAAAGCATGTAGTAGCTGTTATTGTTGTACTCAAATATGGAGAGAAGGATGAGAGCAGACAGTGGGGTTTCAAGGGCTTGACAGTGCCAGTTGTCTGCCTATTTGCTGTCAGCCTTCACTCCTTTCTTTTGTGCTCTGCTATGTATCCCAGGGGGCTGGAGCCATCTCTTAACTACACTTCTCAGTCTGCCTTTCCAACTGTCTTCCAGTTAGGCACTGCCAAGGGAAGGGACGGGTGGTGGGAGACTGGAAAGCCAGAGCACAGGGAGAAGCAACTCTTTCATACAGTTTCTAATGGCATTTCTGTTAGCTGCATCAGTGACAGTGCAGCAGAGATGGCAGTACTGGCGTGGTGACTGTACTGGCAGAGGTTCCAGCCCTGGCTGAGGCAGCACAGCTTCAGCAGATCTAGAATTACAGCAACAACTTCTGCAAAAGCACAGTGGCAGGTATGTGCTTCTGAGCTTTAGTCTCAGAGTTAGCAAATTCTGATCTCTGCATATCAATACTTCTTCCTTTTTGTGCTTCCCATAGTCCTTTCCCCCATTTTCCTCTTTCAGCCCTTTTAATATCTATGTAACTAATTCCCTCTGTTTATATTTGGTGATGTTTTAGGTGAACAAAGTTTCTCTGGGTATAATTTTTAAAAGAGTCCTGATCTTTTAGAGGTACATATTGGAATATTTATAGACAAATTTATATGAATCTCTTGGAATCATTTATGTGAAATATCTGAGATTTTTCTTAAGAATAATCTATGGTGGAGGGTGGGAGGGGCCTAAATGAAACAAGATTCGCTATAACCTCATCATTTTCAGGTGATCACCTTTGGGTGCTAGATACATGAAAGTTCATTCTATTATTAACTCTGCCTTATATGTGTTCAAAATTTCCCATAATGAAATATTAACTATTATATCTTTCCTTCAAGAATGAGTGAATGCATAAATTAATAAACCCCATCTATTTGCAATACCTTGAGTGGTTTTGTGTTCCTGACTAGAGCCTGACTGAGGCATGTCTTATAAAGAAAGCCTGCCTGAGAATTAAGCCAAAACCAAGGAAAACAAAGATATGTGCATGTACATAAGTGGGCAAGTGATACAGAGAGTGACAGAAATTGACCACATACTCAAGACATGGAGATGAACCTAGCCCTGGCAACATCCTGTGCACCTGTATCCAGTGAAATTAACTCACGTTGGAATTTTTCAGATATAAGAATTAGACTTATGTTACTTGCAAACAAAAGAGCCCCAACTAATGGACTCTCTAATATAATGACTACTACTATTACCCCAACCCTCTTAAAAACTAACCAACCACTATCATCACTATAATTTCCATCATATCTGCAATCATTACAATAAACATTATCACCATGACTTTCACCATCACCATCTCTAAGCTAGTTAACATTCACTAAATACCTATTGTGTGCAAAATACTGGGTCTTCATGTAGGTGTAACAGATCAAAGATGAGTAAGTCAGAGCTCCAGCCCTCAAAGAGCTCATAATCTACTTGGGGAGACCATATATATATCACCCATTTAACTATCATAAAGATACATAAGTCACAATAGAATGAGCTCAGTCCTAAACTAAGTAGGGAAACATTAAATTCAACTGATGCTTGCAGAAGGGAGGAAGAGGCCTGGGCTAAAGCAGTCAGAGAAGGTTCCTGGTAGGGAAGGAGGTTTGAGCTGGGCCTTGGAAAATGTACAGAGTATACATAAGAAGAGAATATAATAAGCCTGAGTGTGGTCTCTGGAGTCAGATGGACTTGGTTCAAATCCTAGCTCTGTCACTGACCATTATATTCCCTTCTTATTGTGTTGTGGTGGGGATTTTTCTTTTTTCTTTTTTTTGGAAACAGAGTCTTGCTTTGTCACCCAGACTGGATGCCGCGGCACCATCACAGCTCGCTACATCCTCCAGCTCCCAGACTCAAGCAATCTTCTTGGCTTGGCCTCCCAAGTAGCTAGAATTACAGGCATGTACTACCACGCCCAGAAGATTTTAAAAGTTTTTGTAGAGATGGGGGTCTTACTATGTTGCCTAGGCTGGTATTGAACTCCTGGCCTCATGCAATTCTCCACCTTTGAACTCCAAAGGGCTGTGATTACAGTTGTGAGCCACCGTGTATGCCGGCCCTTCCCTTCTTATTGTAGATATTGATCTTGCCATAAGAATCCCCTTCATGAGTCCTCTGCTACAGACCTTTGCGATTTGGGGCAAGTTATTTAACCTGTCTACCTCAATTTTCTTGTCTAAAACATGGGGATAATAACAGGACACCTACTACAGAGCTTTTGTGGAAATTAGATGAGTTAACGTATGCAAAGTACATATGTGTTATTATTAGTAAGAGAGGAAAGATCAGGACATCCTGGCCAGAAGGAATAGCCTTAGCAAATGTGCAGAGTGGGAATGTACAAAAACATTTTTAGAAACAAGTTAACAGACTTACTGAGCTGAAGCTGAGGGCTCACCAAGGGGAAATCATCTGGCAGGAGTAGTAGTTACAATTTGCAAATGACCAACCAGAAGCAGGGAAAGTGGCTTCCAAACACCTGCATCTCTCCTAACTGCACCCAGGAAAACTGGTGCACCTATCTGTGGCCTTTCCTGTGAGCTTCAGTAGAAGGCATTCTCTCTGCTTACTTACAGCCCATCTTTATGGCACTTTCAAGTTGCTTTGAACTATTTCTTTGGATACTTGTACATAGGCAAAGGCTCCTGAGGGAACACACAGGATGGATGCCAGGAGGTAGAACTTACTGCTCTATGACAGCCAAATTGGGTGGCAGGGAGGTGAGCCCATTGCCTGTAAGGAGCAGGACACGAAGGTGTGGCAGAATCCCCAGATCACAGATGGCCTCTGCAGTCAGGCTGTTGAAGGAAAGGTCCAAGAACTACCATGCAAAGATAAAAAGGGAGAACAGAAATACTACATGTAACAATGATGCTCATACATGCGGTGAGAGCTAGCTATTCTTTTCCTAACTTTTCAGGATACCCCACAACCCACAGGATAAAACCCTGCTGGCTCTCTGGATTAACATTCAAGGTCTGCTGGAGTCAGTTCCCAACCTATTTTCCAGCTTTAGCTGCCACTACAATAAATTGACTCTTTTCCATTCCTTGTCCCATCTTTGCTTGTGCTTTTCACTCAAACGGGAATACCCTTCTTCCATGTATCCCAATTTAAGCCCTAAAAGGCTAGCTCAAAAAGCTGCCTCCTTATAAAAAACCTTTCCTAATTCCCCAGGCAGATAGACTCTCTTCCTCCCCTGACTTTGAGTGCTTTATCTAAACTGTTCTCAGAGTATTTGCCAAAGTCTGCCAGCTACCTGAGATAGCTAAATGCATGTCTGAGGAATAGAGATATCAGTATATGGATGTGCCTAGCACAGTGTCTGGCACCATAGTCAGGAAGATCTGGGATTCTATCTACCTCCTTAACATTACTCATATTTGTTCCCTCCAATCCATTCTTCACAGAGAAAGCAAGTTGTAACACTACCACTTCTCAGTCTAAAACCCTTTAATGGATCCCTATTATCCATAAGATAAGGTTTAAACTCCTAAGCAAGGTTCCAAAGTTCTCCAGTCTCTTCTGCTACCTCCAGGCTCACATATCACTACAGTCTACTGTGTCTCTGTTTCTATTCTAAGACACAGTTTTTACAATACTAAACCTAAGCTGTTTCATCAGTTTTCTAACTCAGGGGTTGGCCAACTAAGGGCTGAGAGCCAAACTCAACCTGCTGCGATTTTGTATAGACCACAAGCTAAGATTTTCACATTTTTAAATGGCTGAAAAAAAAAAAAGAATATTAATAGTAGAGGGGCACACTTATAACATTGACTCAAACTGTATAAAAGCAAATTATGTAACCATAAGGTGTTGACCCCTGTAGTATTTTTAAAAAAAATTAATTTTTGAAAAGAATAGCAGGGTGGCACCTGTGGCTCAAGGAGTAGGGTGCTGGCCCCATATAACGGAGGTGGCGGGTTCAAATCTGACCCCGACCCAAAACTACAAAAAAAAAAAAAAATAAGAATAGCAGTATATTACATGTAGAAATTATGTGAAATTCAGATTTCATTATTGTAAATAAAGTTTTATTAGAACAAAGCCATGCTCACTTGTTTACATACAGGCAACCCCCAAGTTACAAACATCCTATTTTTGTATAACTCGCACTAATAAATGGAAGCTATTACAGTAAATCCCCAAGATACCAACATCTGACTGACATATGATGCATTTTTATAAACAGAGGGTATTACAGGTAATAGGTAAATGTACCTGTCCCAACTTACATACAAATTCAACTTAAGAACAAATCTACAGAACCTATCTGCTTCATAACCAGGGACTGCCTAGCCTAAATTATCTATGGCCATTTTCTTTCTACAACAACAGAGCTGACTAGTTATGACAATTATGACTAGTTATAATCATATGGACCACAGAGCCTAAAGTATTTGTCCTCCAGCCCCTTGTACAGAAAGTTTGCAGACCTCTATTCTTGCCAATTTGGCTATTTACTGTTGGGTCCAAATTTGCTTTCCATAAAATTAAATACAGCTTAAAGAAACTTATAGTCATAGAATCACAGACCACAGAATTTCACAGCTGGGCCAGAATTTACAGAGGGGGAAAGTTAAGCCACAGAAAGGGTAAGATATTTGAGCAAGGATGCATGGCAAAGTACTGGCAGAACCAAGGCTAGAAACAAGGTCTTCTGACTACCAGGGCAGGGTCCCAGGTGAATCTTTTTCAGATATGCAAGCAGTGAATCAAATTATGGCAAAGTTAAGTTTTTCTAAATTGACTCTTAAAGAATTCTACTCTGGACTTTTCCCCTTGGGGCAGCCTTTTTGACAAACAAGAACAGAAGATTTCTGACCTGGCTACTACCTCTGCTGAGTCATATTAAGTTTTATTACACATCAAAGTATTCATTACTGTGAGCTGCAAATTCAGGATATTTGACATGTTTATCCTTTTTTTCAGGGAGCCCTTACAAATCACAGAGATGAAAACAAATAACTGGTCAGAAGATTTCCTGTTTTCATTTATATTCTGCATCTTAAATGTGATCTGCTCTCTTATGTAAATAAATATCCTTGGTAAATTCAAGTCTGCTAGATACATAATTTTCATCATGCTATCAAACAATAAAGTAGGGCCTCCAAAAAGTCAGTAATGATCGACAATCAGATCCAAGCTCAGCTGTGGGAGCAGAGCCTGACTCCTTTCTATGGCCCATTAGCACTTGAAATTGGGGTTTGAAGAAAACAGGGGTGAAAAAGACAAGTGGCACAATGCAAAACATAGGAGCTCAATGACCAGTCTTTGAGCAAGAACAAATAAATGGAAGTTCTTGAGAAGGTTCCAGCCTTCAGGTCAGAGAAACAGCTCTCCATATCTCTAGTGCATGTGGACCTTGTCATCCATTGTCTTTAATGAAATCCACTATAATTTTTTTTTAACATAGCACAAAATTTGCATTAGTTGCATTAGTTGTTGGAAATTAATTTTCTCTCTATTTTATTGAACTTTCAAGAGCTTTGCTTTCTGGACAATTCTGAGGATCACTCTTATCTCAATTCATAGTAAATCACTGTTGTCTTCAATATGACTTGAAACCATAGAAAGAAGTTCCATTATATTCAGTATAGCAGGCTTTAAAAATGCAAGGACATATAATCCATTTTAGGAAGATGATCATCTCAAGAGGTTAAAACCTTTTAAAACTTTGGCATTAGTCCCTGAAAAATTCACTTTTGTGGAAGTTTTCCATCTCTGAGAAGACTAGGTTAAGTGAGTCTTTTGTGAAGAATGGCTAACCCTGGATGTTTGCAGAGTAAATCATTTAAGTTACCAACACTTTGGGGTTGATCCTAAGACTCATGACATGCAGACATTTGGCTGAGGTTTAAATCTGAAACACTTCTACTACAAGGCCAGCAGGTGGGGAAGAATCCATTATTCAGTGAGTGAGCATGGCCAAATGCTCAGCTCCTCACCTGGCTCTACCTCTATTCTCCATGTGCACAGGGGCTCTCAAGTCTTGACAGCTTTCTTCCTTTGTAAAAAATAGTCCTCAAGTCTTCATGAAAGCTGAAGAGGTAATTAACTTGAAGTATAAGGAAATGCATGGAAAATGCATGACTATGGGAAATCAAGCTAAGAATGCAAACAAAATTTTCTGTATTTTGTAATCTGGGGTTTGGAGAATAGCTGTGAATATACTAATATCAAGAGTCTGATGCTGAACTCATGGGAGCATTATTTTATTTTATACTCATCTCTGGCCTCTACTAGACTATACAGCCTGCTCTGTTCCAGTCACTGGCACTATCCAGCTTACTCAGACTAGGACGGGTCTGTGGAATCAGTCCATAATGTCTCTACTTCAGCTGGTCCAATCTGCTACATCTACCTCTTAACCTCCATGGTTCTTCAACCCCCACTGCATCCAGATCTCCCCTCAAACTCTCCCTCCTATAATTTTCTGTTTAAACTCACTTTTTTTGCACAGCCTTTCTTGAACATGACCTTTGGCATTTATTTTCCTGGACCATGTACCACTGCTATAGGTAAAAATTATTTGCCACCACTGCTATCACCGTCACCACCACTGACACCTCTCCAGCAATAAAGTAAGAGCCTGGAAGGCCCAGAGGTTCAGGGAGCCCCTTCCCAACAGTTATAATCAGTAGAGAGTTCTATATCCATTTTTTACAGGGAATAGGTGGGCACCAAAAACTCCCTACCTCCAACTTACTTCCAAGAACTTAAAGTCTCCATATTTCACGTAGATTGTTCTTATGCCATTAAATGCAAGCTCCAGTTCCTTTAAGGCTGGAAATGTGTGGAATGCCTCTAGATTGGGAGGAAAAAGAGAGAATCTACAGCTTGTAAAACATTTAGGAGAAATAGTAATAATGACCATTTACTGGGTTCCCACTGTGTTAGGCCAGGGACTGTTGTAAGGTGCTTTACACACATGTTCTCTAAGTCTCTAATAACCCTGAAAAATATAGATTATTACTTCTATTCTAGGCTGAGAAAACAGACTCAGCCAGGATGATTTGGTAAAAATACAATTGCTGGTAAGTGGAAAAGCCAAGAATTGAATCCAAGTCTATTCAACTGCAAATCCCATTTTAAAGATTCTTTAATATTCCTGATTACAAAAGTTAAGCATGACTACCAAAAATAGTCAGACATCATGGGAAAATTAAGTTCCCTTTAATAACAATACTCCTAGATGACTATTAAAAGATTCATGTATAGCACCTAACTTTTTCTTATGTATATTCTGAAATACACACATACTTATTTTCACAAAAATGGAATCATACTATACATAATGTACTGTGACTTCTTCTTCTTTTTTTTTTTCCTTAACAGTATGTCTTAAAGATTGTTCCAGGTCAAAATATATAGATCTCCCAATGTCGTAATTATGTTCTATACAGACATACATTCCCCTACTAATAGCCTTCAGGTTATATGGATAAAAGGTAAGAAAACTATTCTCCCTCTCCCTGAGAACTGGACCTTGGGTTTTCTACCCCTGTTCCCTTGGTAACCTGAAATAAATGGTGTGGTAATTGTGTTACTAGGCAATGCCATTTGTGGTAAAAATGACCCCAGGTTAGTAAACTGCATCTGGGCTAGAAGAAACTATAAATGAATTATAAACTTCTGGATTGGGCACCACAACTTTGGGCTTCTCTGTGTGCAGTGACTCCTGAACTGCACATGTAACTGAACATGTCTTTTGCAGGAAATCCAGAAGCTACTCCTCTGAAGTGTTACAATGGCTATTGGCTCCTGTGAGGAATGAAGTTTCTAAGCCAGGGTGGCTCTTGCATTTATCCAAGGACAGCCTTGCACCTAAGCTGATAGTAGGGCTCAGGGGGCCCAGAGAATGGCTCATGGATGGCTGTGAGAACTATGTTGAAGAGAAACTCCTGAGGCTATCCTATTAGCACACTGTGTGGAATTACCTACAGCCTTCTAAGTGAACCCGGTGTTGAGTGTACCCCATGATAGTCTTGTGAGTCAGAATGTCCAGTAGAGTCTAATAAAAAGATTGCTTTGTGGGTATTTTAGCCTGTTTACAACGAACATCCTTATGCAAGTAGGTTTCTATAGAATAAATTCCTGGAAATATAACTACAGGCAATGACTATTTTAAGTGTTTTTTTTTTTTTTTTTTTTAAAGACAGTCTCACTTGGTTGCCCTCAGTAGAGTGCCATGGCGTCACAGTTCACAGCAACTCCAGCTCTTGGGCTTAGGCAATTCTCTTGCCTCAGCATCAATTATTTTAAGTTTTAAGAAACACTGCCAAATTATCTCCAAGATGTACCAACTTACTATACCAATTTATTGGACTTCCTCCAGCTAAATGCAAGAGTATCAATTTCCCTACCAATGCTGCCTGTCATTAGTCTTTTTCATTTGATAGGCAGAAAATAGTATCTTGATGCTATTTTAATTATCAGTGAGGTTAAGCATCTTTTCACATACCTATTGGCCTTTGTAGTTCAAGCTCAAGCTCCTGACAGACTACACTGTCTCCTAAAGAACAGGGACCTCAACATATGTTCCTCTAAAAACACTCCTCAAACTTAATGCAACAAAATTGAACTCATCCTATTCCCTGCCTAACCTGCCCCTCCTCTAGTCTACTCTGTCTCAGTGAATCCCCTTGGTTCCTTCCTCTCCCTACATCCCACCAGTTATCAAGTCCTGTTATTTCTACTTCATCCTGAATCAATCTCCCTCTATCTGTCTCATTCCTTTTGCCACAGCCCTGGCTGAGGGCCTCATCTCCTTTTCCCTGGAAAACTAAAACAATCCCTCAGGCTCCCTGGCCTCCATTGTCTCTTCTCTTATAATCCACCCTCCTCACAGCTGCCATTGAGCTTCTCTACTTAAAAGGCTTCCAAGGCTCTCTTTTTCCTGCAAGATTAAGTCCAAATCACCTGGGGTCCTTGATAATCTAGTCCCTGTCATCCTTCTAGTCTCATGCATTCCTTGTATGTGTACAAAGTCTCTTCAATCTTTCTGATAAGGCACTGCCTGCCTTTCTGTATTTTCTCCAACAGCTTAAAATGCCTTCTTACTACCTTCTACTTCCTGAGACACCCCTATTCATTTTTTGGTCTCAGCTTAGATGCTCTTCAGAAGTTCCTCCTGACATTCTAGCCTGAGTTGAAGCCCTCCTTATATGCTTATACAGCATTTTCTGATTCTCTCGATCATTCCTCTCACCACAGCCTGCTCTAATTGTCAAGAGTACATCTCTGTCCCTAAACCAGGAGCTAAGGCAGAACAGACACACTGTTTCTAATAGCCAAGCACTCAGATATTCCTAACACCCAGCAGGGGTCGCTATGGATCTGCTGAATAACTAAGGAGCCTTTATGCTCCTACAGGAGCATTTACAGGCTTAACATTTTTATACCCCCATCTTTGAGCCTGCAAGGCACACTACAAGGGGAAGAAGAAGGGAATTATCCCCATTTACAGATAGACAAATACTTCACAGAGAAATGTTCAAAGAAGGTGGTGCTGGTGCTGGGTTGGAAATGATGTCTGTGTGGTCTCTAGCACCTAAGTCTGTTACACACCAAAAGAGAGACACATGGACAATCATGGATGGACGGGCAGACAAATCCTAATACAAGTGAATAGCTATCCTGGTTTTCAGGAAGGAAAAATCTTACCTAGAGGCAGTAGGTTTTCTGAGGCATTGATATAAACCACGGACTCAAAATGCTTGAAGTCTTTTTCCTTAGCCTGTAGGAGAGTATTTCAGAACAAACACAAAATTAGTTCTTTCTGAAGCTTGCTGAAGTTCCAGAGCAACTGGAAGCAACTAAGGCCTAAAGGGATAAGAGACTTCCTTAGCAAAAGACCAGCTACTCGTTGAGGGCTATAGGGCTTCCTATTTCTTTTTTTCTATTAAGAAATATTTCAAATATACAGAAAAATATAGTGAGTGATACTCTGAAGATCTACGTAACCACTATCTAATTTTAATAAATCTGAATATTTTGCTGTCTTTACTTCAAATTTCTTTTTTTTCTTTTCTTTCTTTCTTTTTTTTTTTTTTTTTTTTTTTGAGACAGAGTCTTGCTCTGTCACCCAGGCTCAAGTGCCATGGCCTCAGACTAGCTCACAGCAATCTCAATCCTCTTGCTTCCCCCGTAGCTGAGACTATAAGTACCCACCACTACACCCAGCTAATTTTTCTGTTTTTAGTAGAGATGAGGGTCTCACTTTGCTCAGGCTGGTCTAGAACTCCTGACCTCAAGCAATCTTCCTGCCTCCCCAATTGCTAGGATTATAGGCGTGAGCTACTGTGCCCGACCTTTACTTCAAATTTCTTTAAAGAAACGAAACATTACAATGGGTGGACAACAATCATCAGTGCTCCCCTCCAAGTATTCCTCCCTAAACTTTTAACAGCTATCCTGAGTTGGTGATTATCATTCCCATGCGTGTTCTGTACTTATGTTATATACATCATGTATGTTATATATATGTATGTGTATTTAACAACCATATAGTACTATTCACCTATTCACGTTTTAAAACTTTATATTAAATGCAATCATTCTGTACACATCATTCTGCGACCTGTCTTTTTACTCAGCACTATGTTTCTGAGACTTACTTGTATTGATACATGTAGCTCTTTTGAAATTTGCTTATGTTGATGTAGCTCTACTTCAGCCATTTTAATTCCTGAATATTATTTCATTGTTTGAATATATTACAAGTCATCCATTCTCAGCTGGTGTACATTTAGTCTGTTTCCAAATTTTCATTATTATAAACAATGATGCAATGAACATTCTAGTAGATACCTTATCAAAAGAGTTTCTCTAATGATATGCTCCTATCAGGTGTGGGGAATGCACATCTTAAACCTTATTAGATGGTGCCACGCTGCTCTCCAAAGTAGTTAGACCAATTTAAGTCCTATCTGCAATATATGAGAAGTCCTATTTCTTTAATTTCTTGCAAAACAACATTATAAAACTTCAATTTTGCCAATCTGGTGACTGTAAAATTGCATTGCCATTTACATTTTCTCTTACGAGGTTGAATGTCTTTTCCCATATTTATCGGCCTTTCAGATTTCTCTTCTGTATATTAACACAATTCATGTCTATTGCCTATTATTCTACAGGGAGGTTTTTTTTTCCTATTGTTTTGTGGGAGCTCTTTACATATTCTGAATCCTAATCATTTTTGGTCATGTTAATTGCTAGTATCTTCTTCCACTGTACAGCTTATTTTTTACCTTTGTTTATGATATCTTTTGTTAAACATATCTTTAATAAACATTTTCATTTATGGTTTAACCATAAAGCTAGCAGGTGTCAACTCCAAGCTTGGGTTTCCGCTAAGCTATCATGCTCTCCAAGGTGTGTTTCTGGGTGTAGGGCTGTTCGTGGCCCATCCTTTGAGCTAACAGTCAGCACACTCATGTTTCCCTCACTGATTTTATTACCTAATCCTGTCTATCTCTATAACCATCTAAGCCTGGCCTCTTCCCCTCCGCACTGGACTATATGCTCCAGATTTTGTGGAGCCATACTAAGCCTCAGTAATGTTTGGTAGGTAGTTGGATAGATGAGTAGATAAGCAAAGGAAAAATAGACAGTACCCGATCGGGGGGACTGAGTTTTGGCCAGCCATGTTGTAGTCCTCAAAAGCTGCATTGATAGAGACCCCTGAAATCTTCTTCTATTACTTTGTCTCACCATTATATATGTGAACTATATATTACATTCATATGCCAGCCTAGAATGAAGGGCCTCTCATCCCAAGACAAATGAATTTCTACAGCTAACCCATCTCCAAGTAACTCAATTCTGAAAATATGAGTGCCAAATGAAGTGAATTAGTACCCTGTTAGGGACTAGTCTTCTCTATCACTAATTTGGGGACTCTGTGGCTCACAGTTCCTACTCCATGGGACTGGCTTATACAAAAAAAATTTCATTTGATATGCTGTGGAACCCTATAAACCAAAACTACATGCCATGATATCCTGTATATACACTAGCTAATGATGGGTCACAAATTTGGCTCCAAGCAGCCCATAAGCCAATGCAAAGAAAGAAACATGATTCATTACATGAGTCATAGCACCTCTAAGTTAAGAATAAACCAGCTTCTCAGGAAAATCATTACCATTTCCGGCACCGAAATCTGAGAGAAATTTCTCTTAGAGGCTCTTATGATGGGAACTCAGTGTCACACATGGATTACACCCCAACAAAATTATATGGCAAATTCAAAACCAGTTTGATGAGGCAATTTCCTCTAATTCACTTCAAATAGGACAAGGACTATGCCAAATTTATAGTCAAAGCTTGTGTCTGAATATTGTTTCCTACCTAGAATGTCCTGGTCTGACCTTCCTCCCATGTGACCAGATTTCCAGTCCCTAGAGGCTCTGGGGAGAGCAGCCAGGTTCTGCCTCAGGCCTAGCTCACCCCAATCCAAACTTTGCTGGCTGATCTCACCTTGGAGAACTTCAGGCCGCTCACATTAACAGTGCACAGATCTGATGGCTTCTTTACAGCGTGGTGCTTCAGCTGGAACATAGGACAGAGAACCAGTTCTCAAGGCCCCAAGAAAATATAATTAACTAATCTATTTCATTTCATTTTTTGCTTACCAGGTAATATTATACATTTGTCATAATGTGATTGCTCATTCATTCATTCATTCACTCATCCATTCACCAAATATTTACCATGCAGTACTTTGGGCACTACACCATGCTAAACACATGAACAAACTTACTTCTAATCTTAACTAAACCACTGGTCATAAGATTATCTCCCTTTCTTTAATGAGAAAAACAAGGTTAAGAGAGGTAATATGCCTTGCCTAAGGTCCTACATCTAGTTAAACAGTAGATCTATGATTTGAATCCAAATCTGTAATCACTAACTCTGTGCTCTTTTGACTACCATATGTCGTCCCACATCATTAAAAAGTTAGAAGCAAATGTTAGCTTTGGAGCTTCTATTTATTTTAGTCAAATATCATTCCTTTTTTCTGTTAATCATTTATGTATGGAACCTATTATGTTTAGGCACTGAAGTAGGCATTGAGAAGACAACAAAATAAAAGCAGAAACATTCTATACCTTCGTAGATCTTATAGTCTCATGGGAAACCAAGTAGCAAGCACATATATATAAATATGACAATTTTTTTTTTTTGGGGGGCCAGGGCTGGGTTTGAACCCACCAACTCTGGCATATGGAGCTGGTGCCCTACTCCTTTGAGCCACAGGCACCGCCCTGTATGATAAATATTTTAAAGTAGAAATTAAAGGTGCAATGGGAAACCATAACAGGAGGTCCTAACCTCAGACTGAAAATAAGGAAATATTTACTTGAAGTAATATTTTGGCTTAGAGCTAAGAGCTAAATAGGAGCTGGTCTCAAGAAAAAGGATAGAAATGTGAAGGCTACCACTGTAGGAAGGAGCAAGGGGCTTTTAGGAAGATTTAGAGAGTCAGCCATTAGATCATGTAGGTACACATTGGGTCTGTAAAGGAGCATGGATTTTATCCTATAACCAATAGAAATCTTTGGGCGGTGCCCATAGCTCAGTGGGTAGGGCGCTGGCCACTTACTTACACCTGGGCTGGCCAGTTCAAACCCAGCCCAGGCCAGCTAAACAACGACAACTGCAACAAAAAAATAGTCGGGCATCGTGGCAAGTGCCTGTAGTCCCAAGCTACTTGGGAGGCTGAGGCAAGAGAATTGCTTAAGACCAAAAGTTTGAGGTTGCTGTGAACTGTGACCCCATGGCATTCTACCTAGGGCAACATAGTGAGACTCTGTCTCAAAAAAAATAAAAATAAAAAAAGAAAGAAAAGAAATCTGTCAGAGAAATATAAAAATTGCTGTCTGATACATACAGATGTATCAGAGTACATCATGTAGATGGAAAGACAGGATAGGAAAGGAAGAGATCAATGTACCAGACACTGTTAAATGCCTTCCCAATACCTCTTCTCTACTTCTTCCATGTTAAAGAATACCAATGTTATTCACATTTCCCTGAACAGACATGTTCTTAAACCCTAGCTCCAAGGGATAAGTCCTGATCTGCCTAAACCAATAGGTCTAGGGGTTAACCTCTGACTACTTGGCTATGTGATATAGGTCTGTCTGGACAATGTGACACTGGCTGCTAGAAGTGAGGGTGAGGGACTAGTTTTGGAAAGCTTTTTCTTCTAAAAATAGACTTAAGACAGTGGCAATTCCTTCTCTACCTCTGGATGTTTTCTTCTATGTGTGATGACCAGAATTGCTGCAGCCACCTCAGGATCACAAAAGCAGTTAGCCCAAGAGGACAAGTCAGCATGCTGAGGATGGCAGAGCAGAAAAATGGAAGCAACCTGAGCCTTAGAAGATGTCATTAAGGCTTGGTGCCTGTGGCTCAAGGGGCTAAGGCACCCGCCACATACACCTTAAGAGACGGGTTCAAATTCAGTCCGGTCCTCCAAACAACAATGACGGCTGCAACCAAAAAATAGCTGGGCGTTGTGGCGGGTGCCTGTGGTCCCAGCTACTTGGGAGGTAGAGGCAGGAGACTCGCTTGAGCCCAGGAGTTGGAGGTTGCTGTGAGCTGTGATGACACCACACTCTACCCAGGGAAATAGCTTGAGGCTCTGTCTTTTTAATTTTTTTTTTTTTTTTTTGAGACAGGAGCCACAACACCTGGCTATTTTTTTGGTTGCAGCCGTCGTTGTTTGGCAGGCCTGGGCTGGATTCAAACCTGCCACCTTGGGTGTACATGGCTAGAGTCTTGGCCACTTGAGCCATAGGCACCAAGCCGAGGCTCTGTCTTTAAAAAAAAAAAAAAAAGATGTCATTAAACCAGTAAAGTAATCTATCTTTAACAATGATTCTGGTTTTTTAAAATGTGAAATAAAAGCATCCTCCTTTGTTCAAACTAGTTAGAAAGTTTCTAAATTACTCCAATAAGAGATGATGGTGGCCCAAATAAGGGTGGTGGAGCGAGAAGACAGATTTGACAGTGCTTGGTAAAGGTGGGGGTGGGGATGGTGAGGAAGAATTAAGTGTCAAGGATAATCCTAGGTTACTGGTTTGGTTACTGGGTATATAGTAGTGGTAACAGGTACAGTATAGTAAATTCTGAAAAAGAGGTATGTTTGGGGACTTGGCGTATGGGGATTGGTGCAGTAGTTCAATAGGAGGTGCTAGCGAAACATTCAAGTAGAACTATCCAGTAGGCAGAATGGATATCCTTTTACTCTGAAAAACTTCCTAGTTGTTTATGTCACCCAAAGTGGCAACACGGGTAACAAGTAATAGCAATTAAATGTGGAGACAGATATGTATTTAGAAACAAAGAAGGAAAAGAAGGCCACTATTGAAAGTGTTTCTGTCCCTCCTCAGTGTTGCTGTTTCAGTTCTCATTCCTACGGAGCAATAGACATACTAATGTAACAAATTCCATAGGACTCTGCAAAAAGCTTATACCAGTGGTTTCCAGCCTTTTTTTTGCACGGGAGACTGGTTTCATGGAAGGCAATTTTTCCACAGACTGGGTGGGGGGCAGGGGAGATAGTGTGGGGATAGGAGGCAGAGGTCAAGCTGTGCTACAAGGGATGGGGAACAGCTGTATATACAAATGAAGCTTTGTGTGCTTGCCTGCTACTCACCTCTTGCTGTGTGGCCCAGTTCCTAATAGGCCATGGACCAAAACCTTTTTTTGGCATAAGGGACTAGTTTCATGGAAGATAATTTTTCCACCAAACAGAGGTGGGTGGGGTGGGGTGGGGAGAATGGGAGAGGCAGAACTCAGGTGGTGATGCTGTGTGGTCCAGTTCCAAATAGGACACTGACTGGAACAGTCTGCAGCTCAGGGGAATGGGGACTGCTTGTTGATACAAGGTTCTCTTTCAACATCAGATCTATGCAGATACTACCTCTTAGGAATAATAAGCAGAATCAGGGAACAAAGTCAGCTGCCATAGAGGTTGTCTAAGGGAGCTATGAGAACTGGATTGTAGGCTCAGCACCCATAGCACAGTGGTTATGGCTACATACACTGAGGCTGGTGGGTTCGAACCTAGCCTGGGCCAGCTAAACAACAATGACAACTGCAACAAAAAATAGCTGGGCATTGTAGGGCACCTATAGTCCCAGCTACTTGGGAGGCCGAGGCAAGAAAATCGCTTAAGCCCAAGACTTTGAGGTTGCTGTGAGCTTTGACTCCATAGCACTCTACTGAGGGTGACATAATGAGACTCTGTCTCCAAAAAAAATGAGAGAGAGAGAACTGGAGGATTGTACATTAATATTGACTTATAAAATGTGTGCCTCTTTGCAAAGCCACTAAGGCATTGCACAGAGCACATGTGAAATTACCTGGCTAGGCCCCAATATAGCCACCCTATTCTTTTTCATAAAGCTTGCCCAGGCACTAGTAGTATTGGTCATCTCCTCTCAGCCAGACACTAAAGCCAAAGGGCGAAGCCTGTGGGAGAGCAGGACCTTCCCAATCTGAGTCGATCCTAGAGAAATTACTCCATCACAGAGCAGGAATCTCTCCACCCTACTAGGTGCTGGGAATGGGATTTTCAATTGACTCTCCCCCAACCAGTTCCTTTGCTTCTCCAACTCAATTAAGAGTTTTTAATCTCATAATGTAAAGGTATAGGCTTTGGAGTCAGTAGACCCAAGTTCTAATCCTGCCCTAGCCATTCACTAGCTTAGGACCTCAGCTGAGGCAAATTACCTCTTAGGACTTCAGTTTTCCCATCAGCCCAATGGCAGCAATACAAAAGGGATGACAATACCTTTCTCACATGGTGAATATAAAAAGAAAGTTTTCCACGTAGAGTCAGTTTGGGTCTCTTCATTACCTGGCTGTAATGATTTGCCAATATCACTCTAATAGTTCAGAGTGGGTTGGGAATAGCTATGCCAGAGCAGGGCAAGTCCTTTCTTCCACCCCAGTTGATGCTGCCAGTCACCCAGGATGCATTGACTCTTACCAGAAAAGCCCGGTCCAGGACGTATTCAGGTAGGTTTACTTGGTTGGCCCTCCGAGACCCTTTCTTTCCCCTACCCTCCAAAGAAACCTTCTTCTGGCTTTCCTGACCTTCAGCTGATATCCCAATCAAATCCTGGGGCTTCCTCTTGAAGTTATTTTTCCGAGTCACTAACCAGTATCCTCGGCCTGTTGAGAAGATTAGAACAGGAAAAAAGGGGAAAAACTCCAAAGCCATAACTGGTTCAATTACAAAATATTTATCTCTAATAATAGCTCTGAAAATAGCTCCTGATTATCTACTATGCACCATTACTGCTGACAGGGTGGGGCAAGGGAGTCTACATATGGATCTCATTTAATTGGACCCCAAATCCAGGAAAGGACATGTTGCTGTCCCCATTCTATAGATGAAGAGGCACAAACTACAAGAGGCAGAATGACTTGCCCAATTCCATCTTTCACATTTTTATCTCTGAATCTTATGGTTTCTTCAAGACCTAAGATCAAGTATTTCCTGTTCTGTGAGTCTTCCCTTGTCTCCCTCAGTAGAACTGATCACTCTTTCCTGTGCCAGCTACTCCCTCATTGATCATCTCTTGGGTGAAGTCCAGTGGGTGATCTCAACTCAATGGGTTCCATCTTCTCAGACCTCCATCATTATAGAGAAAAGGTTGTATTAGGAACTCAGAAGAAGAAAATGATAGGACAGTTGGCATTAAATAAACCAATAATACAAGAAAGAATTTAAAAATGTATGTTAGCAAAAAGAAAATGACTACTATTAAGCCCACCAAACAAAAATCATGACAACATTCTGGAATTTGTTCTCTCTTGCATCGGTAGTTTATTTATTGCATAGTATTCATTGAAATCTGTATTTATTTTATCTGTTCACTTATTTATTCTCTGTCTCTGGCTCTAGAGTGGAAGCTTTATAAGGGCAGGAACTTTTATTCATCCACCTCAGTATTCCCAAGGCTTGCATAGAGTTTACCGCATTGTAACTGTTGCTGAATAATTCGAGCCATAACCCCTCCACCACAAGCATCCATTCAGATCTTTATTGAGCATCTGTTTTGTGTAGGAAACTGGGGCTATAGGAATGAAGAAGACAGAAGCCCTGACCCAAAGGAGTCATAACATAATAATATATAACATCATAGAATAAATAGTATAATATATAATGACACAAAGGGGTCTGTGGAAATCCAGAGAAGGGAACTACTTGTGTAGGACACAAGCTGGAGCTAGTAAGTAGAACAGAGTTCACTGGAGAGAGACTGAAAAACCAGGCAGTCTGGACAAAGGGAAGGGCATAATACCCAGGGTATGAAAGACCAGGATCACATAGAACAGCATAGCTGCGGGAACCAGCCTGGTGCTTCTAACCATTGGCTTCAGCAGTGTTAAATCATAAAAGGTACTCAGGGCCAGAATAAGGAGTTTAGATTTTAAAGGGGAAGACTTTTAGCAGGAAGGGGATCCATGGGGTGGGTTTTCCCCTCAATTTTTCATTTTGTAATAATTTTAGACCTTTAGAAAAGTTGCAGAAACAGTACGGTTTGCATACAGCCTTCCTCACCTTCCCTAATGTTAACATTTTATATAACCTTATACTATTGAAACAATGAAATTAACAATGGTATGGTAACTATAGTCCTTCTTTACATTTTGCCAGTTTACTCTGGGTTTTCTAGCCAAGGTCCTCTTTCCATTCCAGGATTCAATCTAGGATCACACACTGCATTTAGTTGTCGTATTTCCTTAGTCTCCTCTAATCTGTGACAGTTCCTCAGTGTTTTTCCTGAGTGACCCTGATACTTTTGAAGACTACTGATCAATTATTTTATAAAATGTCTGCCAGTGTGAATTTGTTTGAATTTGTTTGCTGCTTTCCCATGGTTAGATTAAAGCTTTGTGCTTTGCCAAAGACACCACAGAAGTGATGCTGTGCCTTTCTGAGAGTAGCTTATCAAGAAGTTTGTGATGTCAATATTATTACCAGTGATGTTAATTTTGATCACTCAGGTACCATGGTGTCTGCCAGTTTTCTCAGAAAAGTTAATATCTTTCTGTTTGTAATTAATAATTATACTTTGAGACCATGAAAACATCCTGTTTGTTATCATACTTTCACCCATTTATTCTAGCATCTGTGCTGGCTAATTTTATCCATCAACTTTGCTAAGTTATAATAAGCAACACTAAACTAGGTATTGCTATGATGGTATTTTGCAGATGTTATTAATATCTACAATCAGCAGATATTAAGTGAAAGAAACTATCTTTGCTAATATGGGTGAACCTCACCCACTGAGTTAAAAACTGAGGTTTCCTGAAGGAAGAAAAAATTTTACTTTAACACTGTAGCACCAGTGTCTCCAAGAGTTTCCAGCCTACCAGCCTGACACAAATTTCAGGCTTATCAGCCCCTACAATCACGTAAGCCAGTTCCTTGAAAAAACAAAAAACAAAAAACTGTCTCTTACTAGTTTTGTTTCTCTGAAAAACTCTGATGGATATAACATCGTGCATTCTTACCTATAAAAATTACTGTGATATGTGAATATTGATTTTCTATCTCCCTCTTTCCTATTACATTTTCAAATGTAGATAGAATTCTTTCTGTCATAACAGCTAGTCCTTCTCCCTTGCTTATTTATATACTCAAGTATTTATTTACATTAGTAAGGTTTCATAAATATTTATTTATTTTGTGGTTTACAACCCAATTCTTTTCTTTTTTTTTTTTTTTTTTTTTTTTGAGACAGAGCCTCAAGCTGTCCCCCTGAGTAAGGTGCCATGGCATCACAGCTCACAGCAACCTCCAACTCCTGGGCTCAAGCAATTCTCCTGCCTCAGCCTCCCAAGTAGGTGGGCCCCCGGGCGCCCGCCACAATGCCTGGCCATTTTTTGGTTGCAGATATACCCATCTATATTTATTTCTGCATCTTTCCATTTATAAGTATATATATGAGAGAAAGAATAGAAAAACCATGAATTCATACTGATAGTCCCATTAGAGGATTTTAGATAGGTAGGTGGCCAGGGAAGGTGTCTATGTGAAAAACAAAATCATTCTAGAGAAGTGGGGAAGATAGACAAGAGGAGAAGGTTCTCCCAATATTCTGTGTACAGAGTGACCAAGAAGTCACAACATCCAGAGTAAATAAGGTATACTTCTCTCTTGCCCTACCTTTGTAAAGCAACAAACCTAATCTAGAGAACTCATACTTCCGTACAGGGTTCCATCTATAGGGGTCTGCTCAGTATTATGAGGAGTCCGTGCTCCAGGGGAGTTTTTAACTAGACAAATATCTGAAAAACTATTTAGCAGAGTTGAGTTTAATCCATTTACTTTAGGAGCTTGACAGACTATGATTACTCATCAAATAAGAAGCATAGACAGGAGAACACCTCACAAGAGAAGAAGGGCACTGAATGCTAGGGGCAAGAGACATGACTTCCTGGAAGAAGGAGAAGAGCTGGGCTTTGTGGAACGAGAAGAGTGTGGCTAACCAGGATGACAGCGGGAAAATTCAGGGCAAAAGCTATGTGAAAAGAGAGACTAGGTGCACACCTATAATCCTGGCCTTTTGGAAGGCTGAGGTGGGAAGATCATTTGAGCCCAGGAGTTCAAGCCTCCTGTGAGCTACAATTGTACCATGGCACTCCAGCCTGGGCAACAAAGTGAGACTCCTATCCCTTTAAAAAAAAAAAAAAAAAAGCATTGTGGAATAGAACATAAAAAAAGGAATGGGGCCGTAGCAAAGGACTGGGGCTGGTTAGACTTTGAGTGACACAGAATGCCTGATAAAGAAGTCAGCAATGAGAAGTCACTAAACAGAAGAGAGCCCTTCTGTTACACAAGGGTGCACAAGGGTTAAATGTGCACTTCAGAATTTGCACTGAAGCTACTGGGGGAAGATGTACTGAAGGGGTACGATTGAGTGGGACAGGGAACAGTAGTGAAGGAGCTGGGGAAGAAGAAATGGATGTGAGAAGCAGTCTAAGGGAGGAGATGGGTATGGGGAAAAGGTACCAATATGAGAAGTCTCCTGACCTTCCTCTGGCATCCGAAGCAGATTTTTGGCTGGAAAGCAGTTGTTCAGGTAAGGCTTCCCATCATCCAGCTTGTAGATTCCTGAGGAGGCCATCTCCCTGAGGGCCAAGCAAGGAAAGTGAGGAAGCAGAAGAGTGAGAAGGTACAGCGAAACTCTCTCCTCCCATCATAGTCTGTGAGCCCACCAGGACCACCACACCCTGCACACTCCCTGCCTCTGTGGCCCTAGAGGCCCACTGCTCTGTTTCAGATATGGGCTGGCTGAATAAATGAAGAGACAGCCAAGGCCCTGGGTTTTTCAGTTCTAATCAATCCTAACTCAATGAAACTCTAGAAAGAGCGTAACTGTGTGCTCAAGCAGACCTACTATGAAAACTGGCTCTATCATTTCTTACTCTATGACTGAGCAAATTACTCTACTCCTCTGAGCCTCAGTTTCCTTGCCCATAAAACGGGAATAATAATAGATAGATGATAGGATCAAGTGAGAAAGGCAGTGCCTGGCATATATTAAGTATGCTAGAAGTTTTAACAGAATTCAGAGAAGAGGGGCTCCTGTTTTAGAGAAAATGATGTGCAAATAATGAAATCTGAACTGGATAAACAGAATTTGAGGGATGAATTGAGTTTTCTGATAGAGTATCAGCTGATATTACTGACAGAGAGAAGGACAAACATTCCAAACAATAAGAGCCACAGAACTGAAGACATCACAGTAAACAAGGTGCCATCCCTCTTGTCTATCCTTTTTGTCCAAGACTCCTGAACACACATCCTTCCCTTTCCTGTCCTAGGAAGGGATGGCACCTGCTCCTAAAGGGCCTGTGGTGCCAGGCTAGCAGCTCAGGATTCATCTTGTATAGCCATGGTCAATTTCTGAGCTGGGTAGAGCCATGATCCAAGCTGTGCTTTATAAAAGGAAGTCTGACAAAAATAGCATGAGATGGGATTGCAGGTAGAGGAGTATTGTAGCAATCCAGGAATGAGCTGATGAGGATCTTGTTAATACACTGAAGAATTAAAGAAGAGAGGAAAGAGGAAGGAAGGAAAGATGGGATGGAGGGAGGGAAAAGAAAAAGAGGAATAAGACCAATTGTAAATATGAGCACTTAACGTGTGGACAAAGGAGGAGAAGCCCCTGGGGTGTTAAGAAAGGAACTTTAGAGAAACAGAACTGGAAGGTGGGGTGCAAGGTGAATAGAAAGCTGCCAGGTAAGCCTAGGGAAGAGAAAGCTATATGAAAGAGGGAGAGAGAAAGCAGAAAAGTCAGGAGAGGTAAGGACTAAAAAGGCCAGGAGAAAGTAGGAGACCAGTTTCAGCGGAGTTGAGTTAAAGCCAGACTTTAACGGATGAAAGGTGAGGAAGTGCAAAAAGGGAATGTCAGCAAGTCTTTCAAGGTTGGCTCTGAAAGGGAGGAGAAAAGCAGATGGTCATGAGAAGGAAGGGAACGTCAAGAGACATGTGAACATCAGGGCTAGGACTGGAGAAGGTGAGTGAGATCCCTGGGGAAAACTTAAGTGGACAGGAGCTTTCTCTCGGAACTGTGCAAATTCAGTGTCAACACGTGTCCCTACCTGAATCGCAGCCTCGGTGGACAGAACCAGGACAAAGCATAGACTCTGGAATGCCACTAGCCCTGCCATTTACTAGTTTTGTAGTCTTGAGCAAGTGACTTAGTTTTTCTAGGCCTTGAATTTTCCTCTGTGAAGTGTGGACAGTAAGTGGACCTACTTCATAGGGCTATTCTGATGATTAAATGAGAAAATGCTTGTGAAAGGACTTAGTATCTGGCACATGGCTAATTCATGTTGATCATTTCTGTCACTGTGTTTATGAACAGGAGGAGAAAGAATTGACTACATCTATAGACTAGGAGGAAAAGGACAGTAGAAGAGGAAAGACAGAGAATGCAGAAGAAAGGTGGGCAGAACCAGAGAGCCATCCCTAAAGAGGGGGAAGAAGGGCACTGCCCAGGAAAGGGTTCCCTCAATGAGGGGGGACAAAGGGCAGGATCCCTCGGGGACAGTGTGATGGGAAAGAGATTTCAAATATCTTGAGTGACCCATTTCCCTAATACCTAAAGAATAAAAACAGCACAAAAGAAATGACTTCTACTTCCTATCTGCTGTAAAATGGCTCTCAGAGACTCTCCAATACCAATTTATAGTGAGTCGTAGGTTTCCTTAGCCAGGCAGGGGTGGGTGGGTGTGTGTGTGTGTGTGTGTGTGTGTGTATGTGTGCTCATGCCCATGCGTGCACATGTGTACATGCACAAAAGTTGGAAAAGAGGCCAGGCATAGTGGCATGTACTCATAGTCCCAGCTCCTGGGGAGGCTGGGGCAAGAGAACCACTCAAGCTCCGGAGCTGGAGGCTGCACTGAGCTATGATAACATCATCGCACTCCAGCCTGGGTAACAGAGCAAGACCTTGTCTCTCAAAAAAAAAAAAAAAAAAATATATATATATATATATATGTCAATCACAAAGAAAATATGATTCTAATTTTAATATCTGACCCAGGATTTTCTTCATCAAATTGTTACTTTCTTCAGGGAGCCAGACACAAATATAATATCTCAAAGGAGTGGATACCCCTAATCAAAACTGCATTTAGGCTCAGTGCCCGTAGCTCAAGGGTTAGAGTGCCAGCTACGTACACTGGGGCTGGCGGGTTGGAACTCGGCCTGGGCCCGCTAAACAACAATAACAACTACAACAAAAAAAATAGCCAGGCATTGTGGTGGGTGCCTGTAGTCCCAGCTACTTGGGAGGCTGAGGCAAGAGAATTACTTAAGCCCAAGAGTTTGAGGTTGCTATGAGCTATGACCCCATGGCACTCTATCAAGGGCAACATAGTGAGACTCTGTCTCCAAAAACAAACAAACAAAAACTTGCATTTATTATCTGTCATTCAAAGATTGTGAAGTTTAAGAATTTGCTGAGTTAAAAAAAAAGATCTCTCTCTCTCTCTCTCTCTCTGTATATATATATATATATATAAACGCTTTACCATAGCCTGATGTCAAACTTTGTGAAAACCTACATTTTAGCCAGGAGTTACAAACACAAATGGCTATAGGAGTTGGGCAGGCCATGTGAGTGAATGAAGGAAGCTGGATGTGAGAGAGAAGAGAGTGGGAAGAAGGCATGAGAGTGTGTGAGAACATGCATATGCCCACAGAGGTGGCCACTATTTAATTTTCACCAATTGTTTCCTAAGTTGGTGTTGGTAGATATCCTATTTTTTTAAAGAGAAGTCTGCCTTACATGTGAATCTCCTGATTATTTGAGTGTCAGCAACTAATCTGCCACTTTAGAACAGCATGCAGGCCAAGCTAAACACATCTAAAGCCATGTTCAACTCCAAGCCACAAGTTTGTTTTTCTGATTGACATTCTTTTATTTTCATGGTATGAGAATTAAACAATAAGCTCCATTCAATAAAACAAACTTTTATTACTTGGTTTTTCAAATTTAATACGAAACATTTCCTTTTGTCATGAAAACACACAGTTGGGCACTGTCATTCTATATCTAGTTACTCTCTTTGTCTCATACATCTTATTGGTCACTGAGCCATGACAATTCCAGCTCAGAAATACTGTTCTAATTAGTCTACTTTTCTCCATAGCCAATATATTTTTTTTAATTAAATGATAGCCATGTACATTAATGCAATCATTGGGTACAGTGTGGTGTTTTCATATATAATTTGAAATAGTTTCATCAAACTGGTTAACATAGCCTTTATGTCATGTTCTTAGTTATTGTGTTAAGACGATTATATTCTACTCTTAGAAAGATTCACTTGTACCCTTGTAAGATAAACCATAGAAGTGATGCCTCCAATCACCCTCCCTC